TTTCGCGAGACAGCGCAGACTGGTAGGTAACAAGTAGTTGCATCACCTACTTGCCAAAAGTAGAGGTCTCAGTTAAACCTCCTAAAGTCGGCCAAGAGGAGACATTTAAAGGCTTATAAACTCAATTAATTCACCCATCTTCCAGACTTTGAAAACCTAATTGAACCCCTGCAACTCCTCCCCAAAAATCGCACACAAACCCTAGGGTATTCCGGGTGTTACGACGCGATTCTAGTGCTGAAAAGTCCGGACAGCTTGCTAGTTTCTCTTTCTCCTTCTTGTAGCCGTGTTGAGGAACTTATTTCTCGAAATGAGGACATGACTGTATGGCCTATACTCTTTTGTTGTCCTAAGGTCTATCACCTCTCGTCTCTTCCTTCAGTTGACTATAGATTTTGTAATATTGTCATCTTTTGATGTACCATTGTCATCCATGTACCATATCTTACTCATAATCCTTTATTAACTCTTTTCATATTTCCCGCTAACATTTATGCCTATCTCTTTATTCTAAAAACTTGAACAAGTCATTCTTTCTCTCTTAGCTTTCCTTTGCTCTATCCAATGGCTCTTCAAGTTGCTTAACGTTCTCGCTTTACTAGGGACGCGAGCCACACTAAGGTAATATTTATCCCTTCAAGGCTTATAGTGCATGTCTTTGTAATACTCATATCTGGCTGCACTATTTTAGAGTGTACCATCTGGGTGTCTCACAAGGAGATCTACTAGCACACTGGCAATATCCTTCGAAAATATCAACTAACACAAACAATCCATTTACCATTTTGGTTTACTCTAACCCCAGCCAGGTCTTGATGTTTCGTCCTTTTGTTAAACTACACCTGTTAGCTCCCATAGGGCATAACTAAGATGGGTACGGCCAACTCTACATACCTCTGTTACTGTTGAGGATAACTCAAAATGCATGTATTTCTCTGCCTGAATTGTAAATACTGAACCTTCATTAACCGGTACCTCATAACCTTCGCCACCTTGCTTCTTTTTTTTGTTGAAACTTGTATCTACCTTCTCATTCTCTTGTTGGTTTTTAATCCACATGGGTGGATAGATATTCATGTCTTAGGGCTCTTTATCAAGAAGCTTACACGTCTTAGTACACATATGATCTGTTGAAGAACTTACATTTACTCATCATCAGTGTGATGCAAAATCGAGTTCCTCTAACTCAGCTCTTCCAGAGCCACATTCAATCTCTTACCCTTTCTCGATGTAGGTATCATTGTATTATGAATAAAATAGAATTTAGAAATTTGAATTCTTACAATTGAGCTCTACCGCACGATCCAGAGTAAGAAGAAAGAGTGACAGTCCTAAATGCCCTGCAGCCTCCTGCTTATAAGTGTGGTGCACGACACACCCATAAACAAGACTCTACTAGACACGGCTTATAGACTCCCTAGGACAGAACTGCTCTGATACCATTTTTGTCACGACCCGAACTGATGGGCCGCGACCGGCACCCGGTACCTTACTCAACCGAGTACCAACGTGACGTATCTTTCTTATTACATCATTATATACACGTGACATACGGGCCTAGTAGGCCAACATAATCATTTATAAACTCAAACATAGGCCGACAAGGCCGTACAATCTTTCACGTATACGAAATATGTCTACAAGCCTCTAAGAATACATAAATGTCATAAAGGTCGGGATAGAGTCCTGCCATACCAAACAATACACGTCTAAATCATACTAACCAACCAAGCAACTCCGAAGCAAATGGAGCGCACTAACATCTTCCGTTGAGCTGATAGCCTACTTGGAGGGCTCTCGACCTATCTATCGGGACCTGCGGGCATGAAACGCAGCGTCCCCAGGCAAAAGGGACGTCAGTACGAATAATATACCGAGTATGTAAGGCACATAAGTAAGTACATTAGAGACATGGAAGAAATATAGAGTACATGATTCAACCTGCAAGTCTGAATAACTTTGTAAATCATAAATTACTTTTAGCGTCATGCATATGTGTATGAATGTCATGTCGTGCATAGGTACATGTTTCATAACATCATCAGCCTCTGAGGGCATCTCATTATATCGTACCGACCACTGTGGGCAAAATCATCATCGTATACCAGCTGATCAGGTGGTGGTGCGTATATAACGCCATAACCTTTCCCGTATCCCATATACATATATATATACATACATACGCGTATATAACGCCGTTTGAATATATACATATATATGCGTATATAACGCCATTTGAATACATACATATATACGCGTATATAACGCCGTTTGAATCATATTTCAGCTACTGTGGGCAACATCATCATCATATACCAGCTGATCAGGTGGTGGTGCGTATATAACGCCGTAACCTTTTCCCATATCCCATATACATATATATACATATATACGCGTATATAACGCCATCTGGTCATAGGTCAATGCACATGAATGCAATGCATGACACTACTAGAAAAAGGCGGATTACCTGGGGATATTTACCTGGGGTTAAAATCCCCAGATTTACCTGCGGGTTTTCTTGCCAAATTTTAAAATTCTTAAATTATAAAATATTATACATGCGAATTTAATTTCCCCCGATAAATCCGCAGGTAATTTTGGCGCCATTAGGCGCAAACATATTACCTGGGGAATTACCTGAGGAAACAATCGGCAAATCCTCTATCCGTAGGTGAATTCGTAGGTAATTTTTTTTTTCGTTTGTGAGTTGGCAGAAAATTCCCCAGGTAACGGTCATGCGGAGTTTGCGACGGATTTTTTCATGGGGATGTACCTGGGGATTTAGTTTTCCTGGGGAATTACCTGGGATTATTTTTCTACGGTTTTACATGGGAAATATTTCCTGGGGAATTACCAGCGGATTTATGTACCTAGGAAAATACCTGGGGATTTATTGTTCGGGTTTTACTTGCGAATATTTTCATAGGAATTCTTTAATAGGGATTTACCTGTGATTTATTTACCTTTTACCTTGCGTATTTATTTACCCGAGAAAATTTGCTTGGGAATATCTTGAAGTGGTTTCGCCTAAATATTTCCATAGCGAAATACCCAAAGATTTAATTTCTTGTGTAATTAGTTGGGGATTTGTGTATTGCGAGTTTAGCTAGAACATATTTTTCTTGGTGATTTAGCTGAGGATTCCGTCACTCTAGGATTTATCTTTTTTCTTGCATAATGATTTACTTGCTCCGAGCTTGAGTCATAGTACTGTCTTTGAAAATCACATATATTGTATTGAGAATTTTATTATTTACTGAATTATTTTTGCATCGATTTGAAATTTATATTATCTCTTTGTGGTTAAGTTTATTATCTCTACTTCTTAAGCTTATTAATTTAGCTATGCATATATCACTGCAAATAAAAAAATTATACCAAGCTAATTAGAGGGCATGAGAATAAGTTAAAAGTAATAGTAACGAATTATTTTATCTTAAGTATAAGATAAATTAAAATATATGCTTGGAAGACAATTATCATATTGAAGAAGTAAGATCATAGACAAAAGTGTATAGGTTTATTCTATGTACATATTTTTTATATGTCCCCAATATCTTTTTTACATGACCTTAGCTAGATCATATTCAGTATTATGGACAAGAAATACTCATCGTTATGTAGGTAATGAATGTGAGGAAGATAGCAATTGCATAAACGTAGCGATTTCGAGAAAATCATGGAGTACACACAAATTTAAGAAACATTTCAATTTGGTTTTTCAGAGTCTAGCTACAAAATATTTTTTGTGGGAAGAAGTTAGGAATGACTTAGTTATATTAAAAAAAGTAATATTTTTGAAAAAAATAGTTTTGTCAAGCATACATATCTAACATATCAGTCGAAAATTAATCAAAATAGTGTCATACGACATTCCCACACAACTGTTTTCATTTTTATCGGGATTTACAATAAATTGACAATTTTTTTCATTATTTTCATTGTTTCGGGATAATTTTTTGTCAAAACAATTTAATTTTTTTCTAATAAATATAAATTATCTTTTTTTATGTTAAATTGACATAGATGGTCATAAATAAAATTAAAAAAGTAATCTTTGAAAGGTTTTTACAAATTTAATGGTTATAATCTAAACTTTTAAAAAAAATTATTCATAATTTACTTCCAAGATAATAAAAGCTTTAATATATAATTTTTTTACAATTGAAAAAAATAAGAAGAACAGAAGCGGGAAACTTAAGCGCCATTGCAAAAGGAAAAGGATCAAAACTTTTGGCTTTCAAACCTAGGTTAGGACTTAGAGAAGACGGCTACACTAATTTTGGTATTGTACTCTCTCAAATTTGCTACAGTGATTTTGCTCTCTCCGCCTCCTCCACCCGCTAAGCTCCGTCTCCTCCATTCTTTCTCCCAGTTTCTTCCAAATACCTGTAAGCATCTCTCCTTTTCTCTGTCTCTTTATCTAATTATGTTTTTTGTTATTACAAAAATTTAAAGACTCCTTTATGTTTATTTCTTCTAAATCTTTTGTGGAATCATAGTTTTAGGTTATTTGTGTTTTTCATGATGTTCAGTTACTGATTTGGGCATTCTTTGGCTATGTGAATATGAGTTTCTTAACCCTTGATTTTTTATGCATATTTGGGGATGGAAATTTTTAATTTACAAAAGAAAAGACTGAAAATTTTTGTATACAATTTGGGAAACTTTAGTTTTCAAAAGATGCATAATTTATGGTTATGCATCATCAATTCTGAGTTCAGGTGTTGGGATCTTGTTAGTGATATTTGATATTGATATGCAATTTGGAAGGTACCATATGACACTATTTTGATTAATTTTCGAATGAGATTGCAAAGGCGCAAAAGCTTTTCGGCTGTTCTGCATTTTCTTTGCAAAAACCTACACCTTACTGCACAATTTTGCTAATAAATTAATTTGTGGGCAACAAGGAATTCCAACACTAATTGCTTTATGTCTAGTGCTTAAATGCTATTATCTATATTTTTAAATATATTTATCTTTTGGTTCAGAAAATGAAAATTCCTGAGCATCGAAAATGGATGGAAAATAGACTTCTTCCCGGTCGAGCGGGGTATACGGATGAATTTATAAGTGGCATGGATGAGTTTATTAATTTTGCTTGTAGTCAACCTAAGTACTTGTCCGAGGGAGTCATAAGGTGCCCTTGTAAGCGTTGTAAAAATATGAAGCACCTGAAACGCGATGAAGTTATTGTGCATGTTTATCAAAAAGGGTTCACGCCAGGATATTGGTATTGGACATCGCATGGAGAGGAAGCACCTCCAATTGATTTGAATGAACATATTTATTCAGGCGCTTCGAGTAGTCATCAAGGGTATAACTTTGACATACCTTCAAACAGTCAAAGTAATATTCCAGGGGAAGACTATGAAAATGTAAATAGATATCAAAATATGATTTATGATGATGCTGGTGTAGAATTTGGGCATCAAGTTGAACCCAATATAGAAGAGTCTCCGAATATGGATGCTACCAGGTTTTATAAAATGTTGAATTCGGCTCAACAACCTTTATGGCCTGGATGCAAATATTCTGAGTTGTCTACAGCTGTTAGAATGATGAGTATTAAATCTGAGTACAATATGTCCCAAGGTTGTTTTAATGCAATGGCGCAACTAATGAAGGATACAAGTCTTCCCGATAATAAGATACCTTTGGATTACTACCATGCGAAAAAGCTAGTTTCAGGGCTTGGTCTAACTAGTCAAAAAATTGATTGTTGTGTTAACGGATGTATGTTGTATTACAAGGCTGATACCGAGATGACAGAATGTAAGTTTTGTAAAGAGCCTCGTTACAAGGAATGCGTGCGCAAGCATGGTAATAAAAAGGTTCCTCGGAAGAGAATGCATTACCTGCCGCTTATTCCTAGGCTTCAACGATTGTACGCTTCGAAAAAATCTGCGGAGCAAATGAAGTGGCACTATGAAAATCGTAGGGAAGAAGGTGTGTTGTGCCACCCATCCGATGGAGAAGCATGGAAACACTTTGATCGAACCTATCCAGACTTTGCTTTAGAGCCTAGAAATATTAAACTTGGTCTTTGTGCTGATGGATTTACACCTTATAGTCAGTCAGCATCGCCATACTCTTGTTGGCCGGTGATTGTTACTCCCTACAATCTTCCTCCTGATCTTTGTATGACTGCCCCTTACATGTTCTTAACATTGATCATTCCAGGTCCACATAATCCCAAGGCAAAAATTGATGTGTATCTTCAACCATTAATAGATGAGCTGCAACAATTGTGGATGGATGGTGTACTAACTTATGATGTGTCAAAGAAGCAAAATTTTCTTATGCGAGCAGCATTGATGTGGACAATTAATGATTTTCCTGCTTATGGCATGCTATCAGGGTGGAGTACAGCTGGTAAATTAGCATGCCCAATTTGCATGGAACAATCAAAAGCTTTTACTTTGAAATATGGAAGGAAAGTTACTTGGTTTGATTGTAACCGCCAATTCTTGCCTCTCAATCATGATTTTAGAAAAAACAAGAATGCTTTTTACAAAGGAAAAGAGGAGAAGTCTAGACCTCCTCCTAGGTTAACCGGGGATCAGGTGTGGGAAAAAGTTAGAGGGTTTCCTAAGATCACTGAATCAGGTCCACGCAAATTCTATGGTTATGGAAAATCTCATAATTGGACCAAAAAAAAGTATTTTTGGGATTTGCCATATTGGAAGACCAATCTAGTTCGCCACAATCTTGACGTAATGCATATAGAGAAAAACGTCTTTGACAATGTTTTTCATACTATCATGGACAATAAAGATAAAACTAAGGATAATGAGAAGGCAAGAATGGACTTGAAAGAATATTGCCGTCGAAATGATCTACACTTGAAACAGGACAGTAGCGGGAGATGGATTAAACCGAAAGCAAAGTTTACCTTAAATGAGGACCAAAAGAAAGATGTATGTGAATGGGTTAAAGATCTAAAGATGCCTGATGGATATGCTTCCAATTTGAGTAGATGTGTTGATATGCCACATTTAAAGCTATTTAGGATGAAAAGTCATGATTGCCATATTTTTATGCAGTGTCTTATTCCAGTTGCTTTTAGTGCACTATCAAAACCAATTTGGAAGCCATTAACTGAACTTAGTCTATTTTTTAAAGACCTGTGCTCAACAGTGTTACGGGAGGATCATTTAATACAAATGGAACAAAATATTCCTTTAATCTTGTGTAAGTTGCAGCGAATATTTCCACCCGGATTTTTTGATTCAATGGAGCACTTACTGATTCATTTGCCTTGCGAAGCAAGGGTTTGTGGGCCAGTTCAATATCGATGGATGTATCCATTTGAAAGGTAAAAAACTTTATTCCAAGAATTTATTATTTTTCATCTTTATTTTATTACATAATTTATTTCTTAAAAATGATTGTAGGTTCCTAAACAAAATTAAGAAGACTGTTAAAAATAAATCCAGAGTTGAAGGGTCTATATGTCAAGCATATTTGGCTCAAGAAATCTCGTACTTTGCTTCCCATTATTTTGAATCTCATGTCCTGTCTAACAACAATAGAGTTGGTCGTAATGACGATGAAATAAAAAAGAATTCAACTCAACCAACTCTATCAGTCTTTAATCTTTCTGGCCGAACTTATGGCAATGAGGATGGCATTATTCGGTGGCTAGATGATAAAGAGGTTGCTGCAGCACAATTGCATGTTCTTATAAATTGTGATGAGGTTAAGCCTTTCCTCAAGTAAGTTTCACTCACTATGTTCGTTTAATTATTAAGACGAACTTAATTATATTTAGGTTGAAACTAATATTTTGTGCAAGTGGGTGCAGTTTGTATGAGCAAGCCTTGAGAGATACTTACAATGATCTCACTGATGACGTTATTGATAAACAAATTGAAGCAGACTTTCCACGATGGTTTAAAGATTATGTATGGATTAACATAAAAACATATCTATTACCGACAATATCATTTTAAGATGTATGTCTAATTTTATTTCATTGTCTGATAGGTCAATAGTAATCCTCAAGAAATATTGCAGAATCCATATTTGCAAATTTTAGCTATGGGACCATTAAGACGGGCAAAGTCTTGGCCTGTTTATTTTGTGAATGGACACAAATTTCACACTTCTTCATGGGGTGAAGGAAGAAGTACATATAATAGTGGGGTGTGTGTTAGTGGCACTGGACAAGATGGTACTATAAGTGAATACTATGGTGTTCTTAAGGAGATTATTGAATTAGAATGGCCAATGACATCAACTATGAAGTTAGTTTTATTTTATTGTGACTGGTTTGATCCCTCTAAACATGGTATGAAAGTTGATAGTGAATTTGGTATTGTCGAGGTTCGAAAAAGGGGAAGATATGGTAAATTTGACCCTTTCATCTTTCCTGAAATCGCAACTCAAGTTTATTATGCAAATCATCCTGAAAAGAAAGGAGATAAAGCTGATTGGTGGGTTGTTATAAAGACAAAGCCAAGGGGAGTTGTGGATGCAACACATAATCTTGAAGTTGCTTACCAAGAGGAGCAATCACATGTAAATATAAGTATAGAGGATGAACCAATTGATTGCCTACAAGATGAGCAATTTGTTGGTGAAGAGGTCGATATGAGTAGTTTCCAATCAGTTATCAATGAAGATGGATATGATTTAATTGAAGACGAAGATGAGGAGGTAGCAAGTGAAGCAGAGGAAGAGCTTTTTGATAGTGAAGATTCACAAGATTACTTTCAAACCCAAGAGGAGGACGAAGATGAAGATGACGATTAAGACTATTAATTTATCAATCTTTATAGCTTATTTACGATACTGTATTTGGTTTTGACAATAGTTGAAATATGTCATGTGAATACCACTATATATAGTTTTCATATTCTGCTTTTCAGTAGGCTCTTGTACCTTTATGCTTTTGGTAATTCATTTGAGATCTATAAACATATATTTATTTGTTTCTTAGCTTAATAACTCTCTCTATTGAGATCCATATCACTATGTTATTCATTTGTTGTACATCTATTATATCATTAATATATTATATAAATGTACTTTGATTTGTTTTTTTTTATTTACAGATGGCAGGTGTAAGGTCTAAAAGAGATGGACAATCTGGTGGTAAAGGAGGAAAATCACATAAAAGAAAGTCAATTGCCATAGAGCGACAACCAGGTCAGTTTCCTCCCATAATCCCATCACGACCACTCTTATCTCATAATGGACCACCTCGTGTAAATGAGCCTTCCTTGCCTCAACTTAGTCGTGAAGTCAATCGATCTCAGCCGCACATCACTGAATCTATTCCTCCAATAATATCTTCACGACCCCGTCTATCTCATTCTGCTCAAGTTCATATAAATGACAATTCCTTGCCTCATCCTATTCTTGAAAGTCAATCCCGACCTCATAACACTACATCTCAACCTCAATCTAATGAATCCCAGCCTATAAATCAAGAAAGTGAACCACTGAGGTCTCCACCGGCCAATATGACTCCGACCACCTCGTGTAGTACGGTTGGCAATGGCGATGATGAGCATCGAATATGGATTAAACCTGAAGCGGATGGGTAATTGTACTAACTTGTATTTTTATTTATATAAAAGAGAAAGATTCGACATTTTCAGTCATGACCTACACAATGTTGTATGATTGATAACTACTGTATTTATGTAGGTTTGATCCTCATAAGCCAGTTATTGAAGGTATTGCTATTTGCATTCGTAGTAAATTTGAGTTGGCTAAACCGTCTTGGAAGAAGTTCCCACAATCTATTCGCGATATGTGGTTTGAGGAATTCAAGGTAATAAAATTTATAATCTGGTTCATATTCAAATATTGTTGGTTTGAGATTGTCATGTACTGATATACGTGTGCCTGACAAGTATCCAAATAGCTAGCATATTCGCTGCTATTTGGACGTTGAAACAGTGAAAAAGTAATATACATTTATCTACCAGTATAGTTGTGCTGGAATCAATAAAATACCTACTAACTATGTCATGAAATTTTTCCTGTTTCCTTAAAGTAGCAACATGGGATAAATTTTTCCTTTTTCAGGTTACATTAATCTACTTCCTTATCTTTAAGTGTAGGAGTGTCAGATCCCATGCTACTTTCACCTAGGTTAGTCAGACTTAGTGAAATCTGGATTAGCCAATAAATAGGCGTCTCTGGTTACTACAAGAGTTCAGTTTACTCCTATTTAATATAGTGTTTTTTAAATATCTCAATAAATGTGTTGCTGCGAATTTTCGTTCACTGGTTCGATATTTGTTCCCTTTGTGATAGAGCAGTAAATGAATGTCCTGTAGGCTAATTGCACAAGTTCTCGCCTCTATTCTTGCTGTAAGGCTTCAACAAATCACACAATTAGCATGTGAGTCACGTATCTAAGTGGGAAGAGTTTGTTGTTTGAATATCCAGTAAATAAATGATAGTAGAAGAAAAGAACTACCAACCATGGACCTCTAGACAAGGTGGGTTGCTCTGATGGTAAGCACCCTTCACTTCCAACCAAGAGGTTGTGAGTTTGAGTCATCCCACTTGTGGGATTATACTTTGTTGTTATTGTTGTTGTTGTTATTATTATTGTTGTTGTTGTTGTTGTTGTTGTTGGTTTGAGATTGTATGGCTAATGCAATTTTTATTTGAAACATGCAGAAAAAATTCAGATGGCTCCCTCACTATAATCAAGCTATACGAGACAATTTTGAGAAAAGAGCAGCTGCAAGAATGACCCAACTTTTTCAAGATGTTAGAAAAAAATTGCCTGTGAAACCAAATTGGATGGGGAATGATGTATTCAAGGAGATGAAGGAGTATTGGGAGTCTCCTGAATTCAAGTTAAAGTCTGAACAAAACAAAATGAATCGTGATTCAAATGACGGCGCCTCAGTTCATACAGGTGGTTGTATACCTCATCGAGTGATTTGGAAGAGAATGGTAATATATAGATCTTTTTAAATTATTTCTTCAAGAAAATAATATCATATTCTGTGTTGGTAACATAGTATTTTCATTTATTTTCAGAAGGAAGCTTCTGGAAAAGATCCTTCAGTTGCGGAATTTTATTTTGAGACTCATCGGACAAAAAAAAAATGTTGGGTAAATGAGAAAGCTGAAACTGCTTATGTAAGTGTTCCTTCTATTACTTTTTTCCGAACCATATAGTATGAGCAGATATGTCAAGGCTTTAAAAATGAACTGCCTTAGAGCCATTATGAAAGTAGATAGTAAGTCTAAAGTCTGTTATATCTTACAGCAGAGTTCGATCGTTGGGGTGTGTTTTAGTGTTGGACTAAAGGGGTGGGTCAGGTGGTAAGGCTGATCATTGGGACCAATCTATACATATTAGTAACAAAAAGTGAAGTAGGCTCTCATCAAAGAGAATACCTTCATTTTCTAACTACATTTTCTTCAGATATCATCTTCTACCTTTCTTTGGACCTTTAATCAGAGGGTACCCGTTAAGATAGTCAGAGTCTCACAGATCAGTGCTAGTATCATTGAGACCAGTAAGGGATTTTATAAGAACTACCAGTAGAAGAATTGAAAACTTTTTAAATATTACATTGGGTTGCTGTTGTTGAATACTAGTGAATAGTTGGAGAGTATATTTTGCAGAATCCTTTTTTATGCAGAAAAACAAATATGTTGTTTGAAATCATTACTTGGTATTATCACTGTTAGAAAACGCTCTAAGAGCCATAGACATGCATAATTTTGGACTGTTGCCACACCTACTTTTACTTTACTTCAAAGTTGCAGCTGTCCTAATGTCAGTGTACACTTTAAGTTCTCATCAATGCAATATTGTTTACATACTNATTCAAAGTTATGTTGTATCCTCCTTCTTTCCCAGCAGCTCCTTCCCGTTATATCAAATCTCCTGCCGCATAATAGCCCATACTTCAAATTAATCCGTAGGCCCAAACCACCAATCACTAAAATTCCCAAATCACTCCAAACTCTCCCACTTTGGCGAAACTCACCCCTTTTATCGACTACTCGACCTTGGCCTCTTATACTCGGCCTTCCAGAAATATTAGCCACCGCCTGACACTTCCCACATATCTTTCTCATCCTTTGCTGCTCAGTTGTTGCCTTAATAAAATCTATCTTCGTAGCACTTGAACCCACAATGGCTACTAACTTTAAACCATTCTGAAGGTCATCTTTCTCAAACTGTCAACATTAGAAATACTGATTCAATCCTAAACCACCGCACCCTGCGATAATCTGACAGTTGTATCTCCAATACTGTTTCACAATATCTTGCCAGGAAAGGCGAATTGCGGAAGACCATAACACCGAAAAACTTAGTGCATTTAATTAGGACAACGACATCCCCTCATAGAAGAAAGCTCCACCACTCTCGCATGTACCAAGTCTCATTACTCTACCATCCCAAATCTGCACATTCTTAGCCCGATTGCCTTTCCCCTGCCGGGAATAAAATACTGAATCTCTAGATTATGCACTGAGTAAACCTCCCTTCAAGTCATTCACTGCCCCGACACTTGGGCAACATTCTACCATCATATCACTACTGTGGAACAATCGTTCATAAGCATCACGGCAACTTGTGCCTAGCCTCAGAGCCCTCAGAAGTACCGTTACTGGGCTGAAATAATAAAATATCCTTCCACAAGGCAACGATAATAGCTCAGACGACTATACGAGGAGAAACATCCCGCACCATATTCGTAATATCATTACAATTCTTCAATCCTTGATGAATAACAAGCGCTTTGCGTCGCATAAGATTGAGTAGGAAAGAAACACAGGCATAAGCCTTAAAGGAATCAAATCGCACGATGAGGAATCAAGAAGGGAAGTACTCCTAACAGTCCTGCAGCCTCCCGAGGATAAGTACAGACNTCACTTATGGATTTTCTTGGGGATTTCAAATATTTCTTTTGTTTCATTGGAAATCTTACATGGTGATTTACCTACGAATTATTATTTGGGAACTTTGCTGGGGTTTTACATGCAATATTTTCATGTGAATTTTCTTGCGAAAATGTGTTCCTGCGGATTTTACTTAAGGATTTTCATGGGGAATTACATGCGGATTTCTTCCTACAAAAATTCCCAAGAAAAATCCCTTGTTTACGAATTTTTACCAAAATATTATTGCGAATTTTTTGAGATGTTTCGCTGATAAATCCGCAAGTAAGTTACATGGGGATACAAAATCCCCAGGTAATTTACCTGGGGATATTTTAATTCCCAGGTAATAATTACCTACAGAGGTTTTTCCAACGGATTTATTTTGGTAGGAAATTCCGCAGAAAATCAAAGTACCTGCGGATTTTCGTATCTTATCCCTCGGAAAATCCCCATGTAATCAGCAATTTTCTTGTAGTGTGAAAAGTACGTTAATAAAATCTTTCGGAGCTTCATAAGACCATTTTGTCTTTGAGTAATATCATAAAGTAAACTCTTTTCAACTTTCGTATTTTTTCTGAGACCCATGAACAGATGATAAAATATTATGACACACGGAAATTCAAGAACATAGATATCTCTAATACTTCTATGAATAGAATCATTCATGGAATTTGTGCATTTGCACGTTTCGTTCGTATCGTATGGATCATGCTAAAAGAAAGAAGGGATAGCCATAACATACCTGGAGTAGGGAAAAATTCGTGTGATACTCTTGAGAAGAATTACACCGTACTTCTTTAAAAATGGTACAACGCCCTCTCTCCAACTCAGGCGCTGACAGTGGTACCAATTGAAACCTTATAACCAAGCTAGCAAAATGC